AGAGAACATCACATTTGCAAGTTTGGCTTTTACAGGGAAAAAAAAATTGTTAGCATCAGAGCTCACAAGAACATCATCTCTGCAACAGTTCCTGTATCCCCTCCCCAGAGATGCTCAGTATTTCTAGTTTCTTAGTCATTCAGCTGATCCTTCCTGTTGGCGCAACAATAAACGTATTTCAGTGCAATAGGAAATGCAGAAGCATTTATAACATTGCTCATTTCGGTTGTAACTCATTTCAGTTAGAATCGGCTGACAGAGTTACTAAACTGAGGATGTGAAAAGCTTGAGAAATAGGTTTGCGTATTCGGTTTGTTTGTTTTTCTAGCTTTCTGGTTGTTTTTGTATCTGTCCAAATGCAAGATAAAAAGCCATAGGGGTGGGGGAAAACAAGCAAAATTCAATGCACTTTGTAAGATATGTATCTGATCTCGGTCTCATGACTCTTCTCCTGATTACATTAAAAAAACATATACAGAGTGAAATAACAGTATGCTATCAACTTCTCAGTTAGTAAATACATAGCAAGTTATCAAAGTGCATCCATTGAATCCCATCTGTTCACTTCTTTCTGCTAATGCAAATCTGCTAATGCCAGTAGAAACCAACAAGTCTGAGTAAGTGAAAATTAAGACTGTAGATCATTACCTCCTCCCTCCCACCATGGCTTTCCAGCACCTTGCTGACTGGTGTCTCCTTGGAGAAGATGCATTTGCTAGACCATGGGAGAGGGCCTGCCAGCTCACATGAATCTCTTCTACATTACTGGCTGATGCTTTGGGCTTAGGGCTAATAGTAGATCATAAAAACGATAGAGTCTCATAAAAGAAGATTCATTCATAAAATATAATGTCTCCTGTGAAGAGGGTGTCTTGTATAAAGAGGGCAAGACTACAGAATTAAGCAAATTTCCACAATGCTTTCTTTCAATTACACTTCTCCTACTTTAGTTATTTAGCTATCATTGCAGTTCTATTTCAATCAAATACTCATCAGAAAGAAATAGCAAAGACCGATGTTATCTCCTCTCACTGTGACCAACATTTTGTTATTTTCAAAGATCCCTTGTTTTCTTTTTTTTTGGGAGGTTATTGCATTTTTTTTGCATTTCTCACATGATCACTATTGGCTGAAACGATGCTGGTCTGCGTGTCACATTTGCACTCTGTGAGCACTGACAGGAATCTTTACCTAATCACAGCCTATAAGAAAGAGTAAGCCTAGATTCACTAGCCAGAGCTAAGCAAACAGTCATTCCTGTGCCTCAGAAACCATTTTTCTCCACCTTTGCATGGGTTTTCATCCCTCTGTTATTTCATTCACTTCTTTCCCACTCTCCTCCTATTGAGCAGTGGGAGCTAGGTGACACTGGTACTCACAGTTGTTGCTTGTTGTTCCATCTGTGAAGCTCACGCCTCTCTCCTTTGAAACTAAAGACTATCCTCATTAAAAAAAAATGCATCTCCCTTACCTTACCAACTGAGATTGTATAACGGGACAGAGTCTACAGCCTCAGAATCCTTTGACACAAAAAAAATACACATGCATACACACACATACATACATACACATGGAAAGATGCATTACCACATATAACAGTGACCTTCTCAAGCAGATCTCTGGAAAATATAACTCAGCATTAATGTTCATGCTATATTTGGACCTCTAAAGACCATGGAAAAAAAAACGTACTGCCATTACATCACCACCATCATCCCCCCACTCCCTCCTTTGTGTAAGAAATCGTCCCGCTCTCCACTCCTGGTTCTGTACCTGTGGGTCAGCTAACCGTGAGATATCAGGATAAAGATAAAACTTGATGCCTTCTGCAGCTCCAGGCAGGGTCACACCACGGATGAGCAGAACAAGGAGCATGATGAACGGGAATGTGGCAGTGATGTACACTACCTGGTAAGAGAAAAAAAAAAAAAAAAGAAGGGATGTTTAGTCTGTGGCAGTCAATGCTACACCTCCAGAATCAAGAGAGATCTAACGATGGGAATTCAAAGCCCCCTGGAAAAGGAACCCAACCTGAGTTTCTGTATGTACTTTTAAGGTAATGGTCTTTACCACCTTATTGCTTTAGGCCTGGAGACAATGCAGGTTCATCAGTCCGTCCAGAGACCCCCCCCAGACAGTGGTCATGTCACTCAGGCAGAGAACATGCAGGATTCTATACAACTCATGACTTTCGTTAGAAATTCTGCCTTTGCCCTGTTTGTCCTCCTCACATGACAAGTGCATCTCTGCCAGGGAAGCTGAAGAGATTTCCTCACCGAGGGTGCCTGAAGCATTACCTCATTCTTTATTTGCACTTAAAAACTGCAAACTGTTTTGCAAGCTCTGCTGCTACCTCTGACCTTGCTGTGCAGCCTCACTACTGCTCCTACAGGAATTTTATGTGGCGCTTCCTTCAGAGATGAAGATAATTCGGTCCGTGCTCCTGTGTCTCCCTTCCCATCACCTTGAATGCATGAAGCCCTTCAGGTTGGCATCAGCCTCAACAGTGGTAATTTCCAGTCCCATAACTTCATTCTTGCCCTTGCTGCCTATTCAGCAACATCATTATTGGAGACTAAGGCTCTATTCATCCAGTTTGAGAATATGTCTTCATTATCTTTAACCTCTATTCCCACTCTCTTTGAATAACAGCCTACTTCTTGTTATCTTCTCATTCATTTGATGAAAGAGCCCTTTGCTTTAATCTCCAGCGCAAGCATTAATTGAGCTTGCATTTGGACAGTTCTATCTTTAGACCCACACTTTTTGACCTCTAACATTTTGCTTTCTTTGCTCATCAGTGCTTTCTCTTATTTTTATATAACTGCTGTGTTACAGTCAAGAATCACTACTGTCCAATAAAGGGCATTTTTCATGGAATCAGATGATTCCTCCAGGTAATTACAGTTTGCTGCCAGGAGTTAAAATGTATTTTTGTTTTCCAGAATTTGTTTAACTACAGCAAAGCTCCTGGGATGCACCATTTTTCTTCTTAAGTAAGTCCTCTGAGAATAACGAGGAGAACTCAAAGCCTGCATTGCCATAATAATTCACAGAGCTGGACTGATTTCACAAAATGAAAGGCAATCTTTTCATACGCATCCTTTTTAATTCTCTCCTTTTTCTGTATATTTTCCACTGACAAAGAATACATATTACATATTACATATTAGCCCAGTTTCACCAAAACCAGAAGGATAACAGTGGAATTTCTGTGCTTTCTGATTTTTTTAAATATAAGCCAGGCCTATCAAAAATCAAAGTTTTCTTTCAAAAAAAATATATGCCTTGATGTAGTTGCAGGGACTGAGTAAATGACACTCAGAAAGTAGCCTTTGCCCTGCAGGTAAAGATTCTCTTGTAACACTGAAGGAATTTTTTAAGATCAAGCACATTATCTGAAGCATAAGCACAACTATTATTTTTCCTCATGATTTCATGTTTATTTGTCCAATATGCTACTACAAGATTTAAAAACTATGTGGGTTTTTTTTTTTCCCCCCACTCTCCAAAGAGCCATTAGCACACTGGAAAGCAGGGAAGTGCTATAAACAACCGTCTACTAAAGTAAACTAGACTTCTCAAATAATTCAAGTCCTCCATTAGAGTTTACAGTTTACTTTTGTTTGACCCCAAAGTTAATGGAGTCAACCGGAGACTTTCCAATGGTTTTGTTGGGCTTTGGCTCCACACTCACACGAGCTCAGATGCTGCGGAGAGGAGGCAGCAAATTCCTACCAACCGTCTTGTCTTAGAAATGAGACCATTTTGCTGGATCTCCAGAAAACACAGGTTTTTAGATAACTGATTTTAACAAACCTGTTTTCAACCTGGTACCTTCACAGGGCTTGAAATAGTGTACCATAGGGAGCCTGGAAAAATCTCACAGAGCTACCATAACCTTCACTGAGCAGACACCAGGCTTGCTAAAGAAATGTGCGCTGCCACTCAGCTACTATACGAGATTTAATGCGTTCACCTTTACTATAAAACTTACACAATCACCTCATTTCTGTCAACATATGCTTTAGAGGTAGGAAGCTGTTCTTCGGGGCAAAGCTGGTGGGAATCCAGGGTAAGGCACCAGCATGATTTTAACGAGGCTCCATGATAAAAATTACAGAAAGCAAGATAGAAATGACAATAAAGCAAGTAGTTTAGTCAACAGTGGAACTAATGAGGTCTGGTTTCCTACGGAGTTTTGTCTCCTGGTTGATTCTGCAGTGTGTAATAAGGTAAAACTGCTAAATGACACAAATGCTCACTCCTGACTTCTCTAGGGGCTGATAAAAGATGGGTTCATGCTGTGGCCTTTTTGTCAGGCAGGACACTAACAGGGTCACTCCCTTCCACCTAGCTGACAAGAAACGTGTGGGAACCTAGGATCTTGAGACTTGTCTACCTCTGTTAAGACTTATCTGAAACACTGCCTCAACCAACAGGTTTGAAAGCTAAGACCCACACATATGCAATGGCTTCAAAAGCCTTTTCTCATGAAAATATGTTTTAAAACACTACTGTATGCAAGGGGCAATAATTTCATGCTTCATGTTGTTAAGGGACTGGCCAAGATTTGCTGTAATTTGCTTCTTGCACTGGAGTAGGATGATTTTCAGGAATGATTTAACTGTTATCCTTTAGAGAAAAACATGATTCTGAAGTGCACACGATGAGACTAAAACCACAAACTATCCAGGATCTCTATTAAGGAGAGTGCTTCTAAATGAGTACCTAAGTTTAGTCTTCTGTATCCACACAGAGCTCTTCTCTAAGTGAGTGGCATTTCAAAAATGCTATGCATCCACCAGTTTCCACTGACTTAAAACATCCCTACCACAGCTATGTTAACATCCACCCCGCTGCACTGAGAATGAACTTGGGCGGTGTGAGAGCACAGACAGGGGCGCAGAGCACCACACATCACAAGCCTAAGACCTTGCACGCTCATGACATGAAGCAGTGGGACATTCATCCTCAGAGAGGCAAGGTGGTACTCAAACTGTGCTTGTATCGCTTCTTGATGCCATTCCAGTAATGGCTACTTGACTCACGGGCATTTTTGGCACTAGCAATGACTTTCAAAAGTCAATTGAATCTGAATCCCTCAAGAGAGGGATAAAAATTCAGTGCAAAAATAGTTTTTTTTCCCAGGAAAAAGCGAGTATCTTTAAGAACAGCAGTGAATATCTTTAAGAACAGCATTATTTAGTATTCCTAACATCTGCTAACCACAATGATTATAAGGGTAAAAGAGCACTTACTTTCCCAGTGGATTTGACTCCTTTCCAAATGCAGAAGAAACATATCACCCAGACGAGGAGAAGACACAGTGCTAGATCCCACTTGATAATACCAATATCTTCAATTCCCGAGGACAAGCTCAGTACATTGCGCCTGAATATTTGAAAGGAAGTAAAACAAGAGAGAGATGCAGGACCTCAGTTGATGCAGAATCTGGTTGTGGTGGCTGTATATATGGAGTATACAATGGTGTGTAGGGTAGCAGATACCTGGGTAGATTCCTGCCCTTTGAACACTGCTTGCTAAGTCAGTGTGGCTTATGTGAGCAAAGCTGAGCTTGGCAGCCCTACATCTTCCCTCTCTGTGGTACTCTTTTGTTCAATATATTGCACAGCTTTTCATTTTAAGCTCTTTTTAGCAGCTTGTGACCACCTCAATATGAGACAAGAAAGTATGCTCAAAGCACTGTAGCTTTCACAATTGCTCCCTTGAAGAGGCTAGACTGACTTGCCCTGGTGTCGCCACAAACCCTGGCTCTGAAGCCACACAGCAGCATTGTACACGATGTCTTCATTACGGACGCTTGCAACTGGCCTGCACCTGTATGTTCCTCCTCTTTTTCAGTTCATTAGCAAGACAGCCGCAAGGAGGAAAGGGAAAAAGCAACGCAGGGAACCATCACACCACGCAGCTTTGCAGGGCGAAGGCTGGAGCCATTACCCGTTCTCCCCCCATGGCCCCCTGCACATAGACACTGCCTGGGCACGCTGCCCTCTGCCCCCAGGAGGGTCTTGTTTAGCTAACTCCAGATATTTGGTAAACTTTATTCTGTCACTTAGGTGAATAAATAAAAAGAAATTCCTAAGCTGGGTCTTAAGGGAGCAACATCTGACCATCAAACTACTCTGTTCAAGGGGAAAAATTCGTTAAGGTTTCTCTCTTTTGGCAATTGCCATGGGTCATTGTTAAATACAGATTTTAAACTATTTTTTTTTAATTTCATGCAACATACACTGTCCTTGCACACTGGACAGACCTTGTCATACCTGGTACCTACTTCATTTGTCAAATATGTATGAAAGAACAAATTGTTTCTTACTATTCACTTAGCTGAAACTCCCCTGTAAATGAACCTACTAAACTCTGAAGAGTTTCTGCAAGATTTTTTTAAGTCACGGAGAAGTCTGACCTCAATTACAACAGAAATGCCTTGCCCCAAGACTAGAGAAATGAACTTGCTACCCAACAAATTGTTCATTAAATTTTATTTTCAGACAGCTATAAAAATGAGCTGTTTTCCTTCACCTAAGTCATCGAGAGCTGAGACCACAGCAGTCTGGGGTGCTGTACCAGGTCAGGCCCATAAGTGTGGTGTGCACAGCTTTGCATGTGGATCCAGTACAAGACAAATCACTGCGGTTTGGTTTTTCCCTGAATTAAACTTTTTTTTTTTTGCTATTACCATGGAAATAATAACGAATGATGTCACCGATAGAAAATCTGCAATTAGTTTTTGGAAAAAAACCCTGGATCAACTAGTTTAATAGGACTCAAACCCTCACCCATCTGTTTTTGTGTCTCTGTCTGCCAAATTCACTTGGATTACCTGTGTGAATGTGTGCTCACACCAAATGCTTTATTCTCCCTGAATGTGTGTATATTTTGTTATGGAAAAGGAACAATGGCACCAGACAAAGTCTGTCCTAATCAGCTATTCACCAGTTATGAGAAACCCCTTGGTAATGAATATTTGGCATAAAGTTGCAATCCTGGTTCACCTGAGCCTAAAGAAATGAGGGAAAAACCTGCTGCGCATATACAAAAGAAGAAAATACATTTATGAGACGACAAAGTTCAGCTGCAACCTTCTGTGGCTTTTTTTAAAGATAAATGGCAATTTTCCAATCTCAGGGGCAGCTCATATTAAAAAGGCAATCTATAGAGCTAGCTTGCAGGAAGCCATGAATAACACATTTTGGAATAGGAAGCTCTATTAATGCATTCAGCTAAGACTTCTTTGCTTTTTATTGGGGAACTAAAATAAGTGGTCATCTTACCTAGAGTTTGCCCCAGCAATCCTTTCAATTTTTTTTGGAGAGCACCCCAGTGGATTACTAAGAGCCAGATATGTTACTTTTCTACGGTGAGGCAGCAAGCGCACCAAGTGATGTGCTGGCTTTATCTGTTCGGGGATACCTTGTCTCACAAAGACCGACTACCTCAAGGAATCTGCTCAGAATTACCAGGGGAGCCTCAGCGTTAAAACTGATTCATGCAATCTAACCCAATGTGTCTTTTCAGCAGAAGCACTCAACCTGGATTTGTGAAACCCTGAAAATTCAAGTTCCGGAAAGAGCACAAGCTGGGCTATGGTGACAGCTCTTCAATTTCATTACACAACCCACTGCTGCTTAGATTCAGCCAAGTCCACTCACTAACTTCACGCCACTTATGCATGAAGTTGTGATTAATTCTAATTTATAGTCTCGATGCTGTCACTAAGTGTCACTCATACATAATCAATGGGAAAACAGTCTGGGGCTGAGTTTGTTGTAAACATGAGTTCTTGAACCTTGTTCATACACCAATACGTTCTAGTGATGTGTAATATGGAGATGTAATAGGAGCCGTAACTGGATCTAGAACATAAACAAAAATAAAATGAGGAGAGTTATGCAATCCTTGAAGGATATTCTGGCTCATCACTAAAGTGAATGCAGACAGGACCTTTCATACCAGGAAAGCGGAAGCACCCTTTTGTGTTGGATGGATAAGAATAACTAATGCTGAAGCAGTTGTACCAGAAGACTGTCAGAAGGAGAATATGAAACAATTTTTAAAACTCTCAAGTTTGCCCCCAAAGGCAGAGGCAGCTGCCCTAGATTTTTTTTAGTTTTTGTGTTGCTCCCTTTGGGACTACATGCCATTAGCATGTGATGGTCTTTCTTGGGATTTGGACGAATAAAGTCTGCTGATTACCAAATATTTATAAACACTTGGCCAGCACCAGACAATCAGTGGTTTTGTTCAACCGTAATTACCCCATAACACTTATCCCTTATGTATTGATGCATGTGTAAGCCTTTAAGGTTTTGGACTTTAAAATAAAATCTTCAGAAATAAGACCTGAAGCATGTGATACCAAGAGGTAAGTCTCCTGATACAAAGCCAGATTTGCTTAACCCCCTTTATTGCTGCTCAAGCAAGCATGTGATTTGCACAGAACATTAATTCAAATGAACTGAAATGTCAGGCTGTACTATAGGTCCAGCCAGGCTGAGAAGGGCACGTGTTATTCAACGTGAAGAGGTTAATGCATCAATGTGGTCAATTATATCTGGGCAGCATTAGTTTTACAAAGCAATACTCATGAGGACACTACATAAATGTCCCACAATAAAAAATGGTATTTGGTTTCAGAAACCAAATACTCACAAACCCCTGAATTAAATTGGAATTAATTGTGCCACAACGCAGATGGGAGTCTTCAGTTAAAGACTACTTATTGACCTGTCCTTTCGATGTGGGTAGCTGGCTGTCTGGCAGCTGGCATTGCCTATGATGGTGAAGTACCTGAAAGTTCTTCAAATTATTTTTAATTTCAGAACTATAAAGAATAGTAGCACGGCTGGGAGAGCACTGGGGATACTGAATGCTTGCACCGTGTAAAAGCTATGCTACTTTAATTACAACAGTGCTGTGTGATCTCTGCCCTTACTTTAAGACACCAGTAGTTGTTTATGCAGCAAGAACAGCTATTTTTAATACTTCTGTAAGTGCCATGAGTCCCAAAGGCAGCTTGATCTGTTAAGGACAGTTTCGCTCATGATGAAACAGAGAGCTATGGACAGTATGTCTGTATTAGCAGGATTATGGAGACAAACTCCTCCCTAGCACGACTCCAGGGAAGAGTTCAGTTCACAATGCTATCTGAGGACAAAAGTCAAAGTGGCTGCAAAGTGCAAGGAGAGCTACCTCCAGGAGCACTAATTGCTGAGCCACCTTTGCTCTGTCTGTGCTCCAGAAACAGCGAGGGCAGGACAGAGGGGAGCGGAAAGCGCTGTGAGGATCAAGGCTTTGACCTCCAGCCTCAGGCACCTCCAGCCTGTCTACGCCTGTTAGGCTGTGTCTACAAAAGGATTTGGTTCGGCTTGCAGGGGGGTTTTGAGGACAGAAACTTTTTTTTTTAGAGGAAACTTAACTGAAAGCTCCACCCCTAACATGTTCCCATGGGGACATCGTTCCCCCTACCCATGGACAGGCTGCCCTGCATAAGGCCCTTCACCGTGTACCTGCTGTGTTGTTACCCATGGAAAGCTCTGGTGTCCCCTGTGGTCCTGGTGCCCTCACCCTTTCTTTTACAACCACTTTTCCAACTCCCAGCCCAATTTCCTTCTGCTATGGTATCTTCAGTCTCCTGAAGTGGACATGCCACCTGGGGCCTCAGGGAGACAACTTGGCCCATAAATCTGTGCATTACAGCAGTAGAAGCTTCTGGAGCAGCAGGAAAACCCCATGGCCACACCAGGAGGCTGCTAAGATTACTGCACAAAACTGATGATGAACACAGTGCTTTTGAAGTCCTGGAGTAACTTTATTTCAGGGGCAGCGCTGTGGACCCGCTCTTCTTAGGGAGGCCTTGAGGAGACCTTTGAACATCCTACCAAGCTAGCCACTCATTTGGATTCAAAGCCCTCAGTTCCAAGGTCATTGTGGGAGACTCCAAAGCAGTGAGAGTTGCTTCCTCTTCTACTGTAACCTGCCTCTAAGTTCCCCTAAAACATCCAAAGGTACTATTTAACAAACTTTTTCCAATTCTCTCCATATTTACAAGGGAGGAAGTCACCTGTGAAAGCATATGTCACTCAACACGGAAATGCAATGCTCACGGCACAGAGAAAATGACTGCTCTTACAGCCTGCACTCTGTCTCTCACACTGGCCACTGGTGCCTTTTGACAAACTGCTCATCCAGATCCAATCTGCCCTTTGTATTTCAGCTCTTGTGTTGCAAATTCTAGAACAGTTCATAAGATTATTTTTTTCTAAACCTAACGCATGCCAAATATCTTCAGCATGAACATTTTGCTAGGGCTATTGGCTGACACTTCTTTTTAAAAATAGAGAAGTAGGTACAAGTTGATCAGGGATCAAACTGGACTTTAATCATGCTGAAAAAGCCAAGCTGGGTCAGAAACTAATTCTACTCTTAAGTAACCAACTGAGCAAGCAAAAAAAAAAAACCAAAAAAACCCCTTCCTAAGCTATTTGTAGAGCCTTTGGATTTAAGTTTCACTACAGGTGTCTGCCTCTGCTGCTATGTTTTGACGTCTATATAAACAAATAGAGATTTGAGGTCATGACCATTCAGAAATCAGGTTATGCAATATAATTTAGAACTTGAAAAATAAGAGAAAACTGGGAATAAGAAGCTTAGGCCTGATGAAATCCAGGCATCTGGCAAAACAGAGTCTCCTCAGAGACTGCAGAGAAAAATGATGTAACAAAGATGACCTGAGAAACCTGCAGTACAGGACAATGTTCACCACCTCTGCCAGTTTTATTGGTGAGGTCAACGCCTTTCTTTATTGTTAGACTGATAAGAGACGTGTTATAGCTTCACAAAGCGTACTGCAAATGCTAACAGCTGGGGAAGAGGGAAAGGCAACCACAATGGGGGGTGATTGACAGTGTTTCCATTGTAAATCCATGCTATCAGTGCACCTGAAGTGACATGTTTCTGTTCTCATGTTGCATTTGGAGAATCCCAACCAAGCAGGAAACAACTTTTCTTCCAAACCAGAAATTACACTGGGTTTTTAGGGCTCTCTGTATGCTCTAGGATGAACGCGGTTTTACATCTAATGCCTTCCTCCACTGCTCCCAGACTGACCAGTCTGTCTCAGCATGGGCGAGAACCTGTAGGAAACACCAGTCAAACAACTGGCAGCCAGAACAATTTTCTTTTCCTATCTAACATTCCCCATGGCCCTTCCATAAAGTTTCAGGCCTGACCTCTGGCATGCCACCGAAGCACCCCAAAAGCACCACAGAGGGGGCACTTACTCCCAAAACTCCGTGACAGGGGAGGTGAAGTTAGTGGCATTCAGTGATATCCAGAGCGTTTTGTTCTTCCTGAGAGTGTCTTCCACGCAGGTTGGTGTGTTCCACTTCTGGTGGCAGTGTGCCCACGGCAGGACGCTCTGGAAAGACTGGAACAGGTAGTAGAGTCCCCAGGCCAGGATCACGATGTAGTACACATTCAGAAGGGACACAATCACTATGGAAGCATAACCAATTCCTGGGAAGAGGGGGAGAGAAAAGACATATGCGCAGACATGACAGCCGCTTCTTGCTAGGGTGCCTTGTGATCTCATGGAGCTGGTGCTATTCCCACTGTGTTGAGAACTTCTATCCCACTCTACCACACCACTGTTGGAAGCTCAACTCAACTTGATCATATATAAGCACAGACCTGCCATCACCTCTGACTAGCATGGGATCTCAGGGTTGAGTTTCTGGCTGTGGTTTGTTGACAGGAGGTCTGCAGGACATCTACCGCATTTAACATTAACCCAGCTATTTAAAATTTTATTAAAAGGAAATCAAGGCATCACGCTTTGCTTATTTGGGAGCTACACCATCTCACAACTTAGGTACCTACTTGGGAAAAATCATTCTCACCACACTGTCCCCTAAGCTGGCTCCCTTGGAGGCAGCTTGGCTGGGCAGCCCCTGCACCACTCATACTTACCGACTGGCTTGGCTCAGCCTATGTGCAACAAAAAAGATAGCTCTTGAATGAGTTAAAAAGGAAAATTCCAAAGCTATCAATGTGAAAGCTGCTATTTCTGTCCCAATTTCACTTGTGCAAAGGAAGCATGATATTTGTAGCTGTTATGATTAATTAGATCAATGTTTAACTCTGCTATCAATACTTGATGATAAAAAATGTTCCCTGTTTGTTTTCAAAAGCAGGGTCATGGGCAGATAAGGGTGAGTCCTACACAAATTCGGGAGGTGGTGGAATGCCGTTCCAGTGGAGGCTTTAATTAAATACTACAACTGCTCTCCTGAGTCTGGTATCTCTCTCCTAGCTTGGCAGTTTAGCTCCACCAGCAGATTCATACTACATCTTAAGTTAGAAGCAGTCACTATTTTTTTAACTACAAAATAAAAGGACTCTGAAAAGTCCCCTTTACTGAAAATCTTTTAGCTCCAAAAAGTTTACCATTTAGAGATAACAGGGAAAAAAAAGAGATTTCCTTAAAAACTTAGAGCAGTTTCCTACAAGAGGATGAAAAGCCCATAAGGTTCCCTTTAACATCACTCTGATGGCTACCCCAGCACCTGGGATACCTGCCTCATATTTTACAGTTTCAAACCTTATTGCAGCAGGAGTCTTTACCACCAGAGATTATTTTTATGTCAGTTGAAAACAAGCAGAGCAAGTGGAGTGTACAGCTGCATTTCATTCAGGATATACAGCTAGTCACATTATTAGAGCTACAATTTCTCTTTATGGATGCCTGGGAGATTGCTATTTAAACAACGAACATTGCTTCCTCCTCCTCAAAAAAAAAAAAAAAAAAGACAAAAAAAAGACTTCATAAAAGTGGGAGGAGAAGGAAGAAAATGGAGCTAAAGCTGCACGATTATATCAACTTCAGCAGTGTTCTGAGTGGGAGTGTGAGCCATGGAGAAAGCCCTAACTTCTGCTTGGGGTGACATAAGGGGAGAGAGATGCCTGGAACAGCAACAATGGC